TCATTGTCGCAGGACAAATATAGGTATGTTGATATTTTAGAAAAAAAATTTCGTAATAATTGTATATTGTAAATAAAATTTAGTTATATATTTAGTATGCAATTGAATAGTTGCAATTGAAACTATTATGAAGGCAAAAGTGTTCTAGTTTTTTATTTCCACAAATAAATTTGTAACGAGAGTGAAACATTACGATATTATAAATACATTTATTTTAGTTGAAAGATAGTTTCTAACTTTATATAGAAATTCGGTTAAATTTTTAATAAATTAACAGACACTCATTGATAAGAATTCATTTTTAATATACTCATAAAAATAAATATATTTATGCAATTCATTAAATATTATTAATATAATAATGTGATGGAATTTAAAATCTTTTTTTAATCAAATTTAAGTCTATTTAGTTACAAAAAGACTTGATAGAATTATTATTTTAAGAATTATTAATATTATCTATTCTGATGAAAATTATTTCTTCATAGGTGATTTAATAGAATAAGAAAGCACTATAAAAAATATATCATTTATACTTCCAACATAATACATAATGCATGTGGATTTCAAAATATAATGGTTTTTCTTAAAAACATTAATCATTGTATATATTTAATTAAAGTAATATTCACAGATAATTTCATTATTTAATTATTGTCGTTATTGAATTTTTAATTTTTTAATTTTAGCAGTACATGAAAAATTTAATTGACAAATTTAGTGATAAAACGTAAAATAATGTATAAACTTTAAATAATGATTGTTCAAAATAATTGGATTCAAAATAAAATTATTTTAATAATTTTTCTATCGAAGTTTGATATAGAAATTAATTTTATGCCTAACTATTATACGTTTTATTTTAATGTCATGTAAATGTAAAAGTAAAATTTATGATTAATCGAAAGGTTAAAGAAAAATTTTCCACTCGAAAATCTTCTTAATAAATTCTTAATAAAATTGTATATATAGTATTGATTGATTAATCATACGAGGAAGAAAAAAATATATTCAGCTGATTTTTATTAAAATAAATGTACGTGTTATGTTCTATTAATAATTAATCATCATAAATATAAATAATTCTTTTTAATTTATGATACTTAAACATTCATGAGTTATAGAAAATTTTACTCAAAACTGAAATGTTCAAAGGCACCACGAGGAAGAAAAAATTTATATTTTTACTTTAATAGTTATACTGGTCTATCAAATTACATTGTAGTACGTAATAATAATAGACAATAATACATGAAAATATAAATTATAATTTTCTTTTATATTCATTAAATTTTTAAATAAAAATACATTTGCTTTCGTAAATGATTGGATTTTCACTTTCATCAATAAATATCTAAGCAAGTGTACGTATAATGTGAGTAAAAGTAGATATTCTTGAAGTAGGATTTTGTCCTCGACTGTCCAATAATATTCAATTTATAACTTAATAATTACGAGAATACAGAACAGAAGGACATATTTTCACAAGCATAATTAATAATATGTTAGAAAGTTGTGGAATAAATATTAATAAAATATATAAAGCAATTATGGTTTGTTTGCGTTATGATTAATGTACTTCTATAATCGATTACTTTTGTCAAATTATCATTATGACGTTCGTTTTAAAATAAATTGATTTGTGGATCACTAATTTAAATAATTAATCATATTGATGATATTTTTTATAATTATCGTTACACAAAACCATATTCTTTTACATGACAAGTAAAGAATCGCAATACCTTTGATAGATATATATATATATTTATATAACAGCTTCGTAAATAATGTTTTTTAAAAAATTTTTGAAAATCATATTTTAAGTAAGTTAATATTAAGAGGTGTCCTCTCGAGTTTATGCATGCGTTATTCTATTATTTATAAAATTTATGATATGAAAAAATGTAATGGCACGACATCACATCAAAAAGTATAAAGATTTTATATTCGTTAGTTCGTGTAAATAAATAATAATAAGCCTTAAAGAAAAGCTTAATATTTTAATTTATAACTTAATTTAATCATTAATTTTTAATTTATGTAAATGATTGCCACGGGATTTTTGTATTATAAAAATCAATAAACAGTGCTGTGCTTTAATTCAACCAAAATTCATATGCTAATTATTACAGCAATATTGCATGTAATTATAAAAAAATAAGATAAAGCATACCGATTGGACTTTAGTTAAAGATGCCGACTACATAATTGGAGTTAGTTAGCATTTCTGATTACCAAGCAGCTTATTACGTTAAATATGCATAATGCATGCTTCAAGGTAATGGGATAGAAAAATAAGAGGAGCAAGGATGGCCAGCTATCAAATTTGGGAGGAGTTAAAGAAAGAAAACCAGCGCGTAATAGAAGACTACGGAGTAAGATGATAACGAGTCTTAAACCGGTTAATTCATCGAGTATGCCTTATTGGCTGATTCGTGAGCTCCGACGTTGCTTTATTTCTTTCCTTTCCTTTATTCTTACCTTCGTTAAATTTTGAGATTATTTTCTTTATCATGGCTGCCATTTTTATATTTACGTAATACCAGCATATGAGGAGCTTCTTTTTAATTAAAGCGCCTATTTGCACATCTGTACATGTGTAAATTAGGAGCGAAATTTATCGAATAGGAACGCCGCTTTTATTGAAAATATCATATTGTTTTTATACACGTTTTTTGTATGGAGGAGGTTAGATTAACAAAAACAATAAAGGAAGAAGAATAAAAACCAGTTTTCTTCAAAAATGACTAAGAGAGAAAGCATTGTAGCAACAATTTGAATAAGAGTTATTGTGAAATAAGAATTTATTTATAGAAGAATAGGGAACTCTTTCGCTAACAAATGTCCAAGATAAGACGTAAAAAAAAATTTTATTTTTTTGTGAAATATTCCGCAATTATAATATTTAAATCTCGAACGATCAGTTTTTCTTTTTTGCTACAAATGTCTAATTATGGTTGTTCTTCATCTAGCTGGCAAAATAATAAGGATAACATTAAATCAGTCGTTTCATTTGACAATATCTTTTTCATTTATCTGAGGCGTATCATTTTCCTTTTTAGTCCGGAAGCCGCGTGAATCAGATAATACACATTGCAAAGAAATTGAGAGCGGAAAAATAAGAAACGACTTCTCCTGAGAATATCTTCTCCTGAAATAAGAAACGACCTTTACCTATTCTTGTGTGTTGCTCTCTCTCTTTCTTATTTATTTTTTTTCTTATTTTTTCCTACTTTTTTTTCTTAATAGAACTCTCTCGGATACTGTCCATAGCCAAGACCCGTGCGATTTGCCATTTTCCCTTTCGGCGCTTACCCGTTACTTGCTAGCCATTCCCCTCCCCGGTGACACTTTTTCCTCGTTCATTTGTCGAAGCTCGAAATATCGAAGAAAGAAGTGAGAGAGTGTAAGAGTGAGTGAGGGGGGTGGGGAGAACGAGGGAGCGAGAGAGAGAGAGCGAGAGAAAGCGTGGGAGAATGTGCACGAGACAGAGAGAGAGAGAGAGAGAGAGACTGCGAGAGAGAGAGAGAGAGAGTAAGAGAGAGAGAGAGAGAGAGAGAGAGAGAAAGAATGAGAGAAACAAAGAGTGAGCGGACAATGCATTTCTCCTTCCCATTTTCTTGTTTTTCTCGTTGGGCTTTTCCTGATTTCTCTACCGCCCCCTTCCAATACCACGAGAACAGTCGCACAACATTCTAGGGGAAGAGCAGGATCCATGCCGAATTCGACACGCGTGAAAAGAGGGAGAGAAAGTCAACCAATGAGAGCCAAGCTTTTTCCAGGATCGATCAATGCGATACCGTCTATACCGACTACAATTGCAAGCCAGCCCATGTTTTTGTGTGTGCCCGCGTGCATGTGTGCGTACGCATCCAAACCTGTATATTTTCTAATCCTCGATGCATCGTACATGTGCAACATTAATTTTTTTATTCTATTGATATTTCAATCGTGATTGGATCACTCGGCATGAAGGACCGAAACGGAACTGTTTTTTTCAATTCTGTATGTTGCCATATTCGCATTTGCAGTTCATTAAACAAATTGTTTACTATATTGTTTCTACTTACCACGTATAAAGTATTTTTTTTCATTGAAGCTTATAAAAAGAGAGCAAGTTCCACGGCAGTTTTCACATTCGTTAAAAGGTCATTTAACTCATTATCTCTTGTTATTAATAACTTTTAATATTATTTTTAAATTTTAGATTTTAATTTAAGGTACATTAGATTTAAATTCGTTTCTCGCGTTTAATTAATCGATATGGCGAAATATGTATATAAATAAATAACTACACTTAAGAAAAACATCAGTAAAAAAACTAATACTATACGTCTTATTTAAGTAAACTGATATAATTCTAATTTACAAATAAATTTCATATGACTTTTTTCAAAATCTAATACTTACATAATCATACAAGTTATTTTTCAACGAAAATAACCAATTTTAAATTGCATTTAAATATTTTTATTTAAACACATAATATAGTTAACTGTTGACATGTACAAAGAAATTAATTTTTATATTTTATTTCGTAACCTCGTGTTTTACGTTTATCCGTTTCAACTGAAAATCAGCACAGACCATCGGATAATCCGCAAGATTATATAACCAACTCACGTTTTTATATTTTAGAAACGAATTTTTTGAGTAATGCTATTTCAACAGTAAGCAATTATTTTTTATTCTAATTTCACTATAAATTACAATTGGTTATATTCATAAATTTCTCAATATTTGATATTTATTCTAATCATTTTCTCATCAATTATATTACTCATTTATTAAAGATTCTTATTTCTTAAATGTAACTTAACGTAAACGTAGGTAAGTTCGTGTTTTGTAATTTTAATTAAAATATAATTCAAGAAAATATAATTATTACTTGCGCCATTTGTACATTGTAGTTATCACTATATTTGATATTTTTAGAGTACAAAATTACGTGTGCGCTTAAATAAACAATCATAATGTGAAAATAATGTGAAACATACCTATATGGAGTCAAGACGCCACTTTCGTCAACTCCATTTCCAGATCTGTAAAATAAAAATGAAGAATCCTGATTATTAATGTGTAACGAAACCAGTTTTGTCTGATATTAAAAATTATTAATGAACATTGACTGTGCAAAAAAGAAAACAAATTTCAATTTATTTTATCAGTAAACCGCGTATTATTGTTATGTATGAGAAAGCGAGGCGTATTCAATTGAGCTGATAAGATGCATTTCTGAATAAGTTAAATTATTTTAAGTTGAATGTAAAAAAAAAAAAAAAAAAAAAAAAAAACATAAAATAGAATACATTTTTCAAAACGAATACACAAATACGAGTAAAAGGAATAATAATGGAGTATATTTAGGTAGTTGCATTAATTTAATCAAAACAAGATTCATAATTGACATACTGATCTATAATTTTATGGGGGATATCTTAATCGTTAGCTTAATCGAAATTATTAGAATTCAATATAGCGCTTTGGTATAATTGTAAACTGGTATGGTAATAAGTTGCCTGAAGATAAATGCATAATATTTGCTTATTTTAATGGAATTCACTCACACAAGCAAGAACCGGTAAGAAAAGACTTTACACTTGGTATCAAAGTCTTTATTTTATTGAAAAATTAAAAAGAAAAAAATTTTTTTTTCGATTTGTCATACTGTCGAGGAGAATGATTTTTTTTTTCAGCCGGCAATCTTAATTTCACCTTAAGATTTTTCAAGTTTTTACTAAATATTTGGAATTTTAAAAGATTCGGTCATTTAAAAAAAAATAAATCAGATTTTCGCGATTATTTTATTAAATAAATTACATTAGTTTGTAATGTAAATTGAATTGAATGAATTTCTTTTCAATACATATTATATATATATATATATATATATATATATATATATATATATATATGTATGTTACATGTTTAATAAATACGCTTGAATTTATCGTTAAAACGTATTTATTAATTCAATAATAACAAAAAATAATTTAAAATTTATATTCCCCAATATGGTTAACCACATGGTATGATTATGTGTATGCACGCACACCTGTATTCACGCATATATAGATGTACACATAAAATAATGGATATATTGCTTTTGTCTACAATGAAAGTAAAAAGTCCAATCTCCTTAAGAATCATAAGTATTTTTACCTTTTACGTATTACTTATTTTACATATTTCCTTTCCCTATCCGTCTTCCTCTAAAGCTAAAGGAGAAATAGGACGATCGCTAACCCGTCTGAACTCTCTGTCTCCGACATGTTGGTGTGTATATCTGTGCTTGTGTTAACTTACCTGAATAAAGCTACTTTGAAACATGTTCGCTCTTAGAGTGAGATAGCAGCCACAATATATACGTCTATAGTATATAGACTCGGAGACAGAGACTTTTTCGAGTCGACAGAACTCGCGCACATTTACGAGAGCGACTTTGGCTTTTCGAAGATGAGACTTTTCTAGCTATGAAATGGATATCGACGAAATGGCCTTCTAGTGTTTAGGGGTGAAAAAAAAAAACCCGGATCTACTGATAGTCCTGCCGACGGCTAAGTCGCAACACGAACCAAAACGAGTCTTTCGTTGGTTCACCTATTCTTTAACCGATACCACCTCCTGCCTTCCCCTTGAAATCACAACTTTTCGTAACAAAACAATTCCAAGTCAGACTCTGAAGTATTTTGGACGCATAATTATAAAGCATCTTATCTTGCTTTTACTCCTTTCCATTCTCCGGCGTCAAAGGCCTTTAAATTTTTCAGATTATAAGAAGGTTTTGAATTTTAAGCTAAAAATGAAACGTATTTCCAAATGATTTTATTGCTACGAGAGAACGACTCCTCCTTATTATTATTCATTTAATATTATTATTATTTTTTATTATTGTTGTTATTGTCATTGTGATGATTATTTTCTCTCTCCTTTTTTTGCAATTCACATTCGATATTAATGCCTAGTGAGAAGATACAAAATGATCGAGCGATGGAGAGAAAAATAAAAATTTTATACTTTAATATGGAGTGTTTGTTAACTTTCTCTGTGAATAGCATTAACGATATTCAAAATTCTAATGGTAATTCGCGATTGAGAATAATTAAGAATATTATAACGTATATCAGAACGTTGATTTCATCGTCATCCACAAATCTACTACGAGTAAAATTAGTTCTTTCCATTAATTGTCAAAATTTTCGATTATCTTTTTGCTATTCTTTGATACAAAAACAGTTGTATTATTAATGCAGCTAAAATTGCGGGCAGGGGGGGGGGAGATGTGGACGTTTCTTAAATTGACTTAGATAAATCTTAAATGGAAATGGGCGTTAGGTCTAAAAATATAACATTATACCTTTCTTATCTAAGAAATTGCGAAATACTTTAAATCATATATTATACAATGGCATTTTTATAAATGAACTCTTTGCTTTTGCCGGAGAACTACATCCGTTGATTGCCGAGCGAGTAGTACGGAAACTTATTAAATGCACGGTCACAATTTTCTCTTGGCGAGTAAAGCATCTATTACGCTTATTTCTAGCACTGCCATAAGGAGAGAATAGCTAAATTAAAAAAAATTAAAGGAAAAAAAAAACACGAATATCTGAGTGTACGCGTGTGACACCATTACGACGTAAAATAAACGAGACGGCTGGCGGTATTGGAAAATTTTCTTTTTGGATTTTCAGTTCATGGTCCCGGCTTCTCTTCGACTGTAAATACTTGCGAAACAATAAGCTTCCCGCTTCTCCTCCGCGACTATTAGCCGCGAGTTTGCTCAAGGAGAGAATACTCGGTTCTGTATACATGTACTGCCTCGCACTTCCCATAAGTTCACTCGTGTCAGGCTCTTGTTCTCACTCCAGCTCGTTTGCCGAGGAGGTCGTTAACCGACGTTCGACGTCGTTAATTAAGGCGGCCCAAGTTGAGCTGAATTAAGATACAGTCGACTGCGCCTTTCGGACTACTACGAGCTAAATATTTATATTAAACGCGTGTAAATAATCTTAATTAATCGTTACAATTTCCAATATATTTTGGCCGTGTGTGTTATTCCAGTCCTGAGCATATTTGGTTGAGGAGGGCAAGGAAAAGTAGATTGGATCGTCGCTGAGATGCCATTTAAGTAAGCGCTTCGCTCGCTTTCATGAATTAATTTATAGTTTTATTTAATTCTATGGTTGGTAAGACGATGAATTAACATTAAATCAAGTAAAGATCCATGTGTAAGCAAAGCAGTGGGACAATTGTTTAAAAAAAGGGATAATATTATTTCCTCTAGCGAATTTCACAATACTAAGATCATTGAAACTTGTATTCACCTCTATTGAAATTACGCTTAAATTGAAAGATTAAAAATGTACAAAGATTTTCATTAGATTTGAAATCCCATAATCCCAACTAACGCCTATCCCTATTATCGAGCCATTTAATATAAATGCAAATAAAAATTACGGGGGGGGGGGGCAGTTGATAATTTTCTTTATTAATTATTTTAATTCAATATTAGATAATTAGCGAATAATGTGGATATTTTCAATTTTCAATATTTCTGAAGATATTATTACTAAGCTCGTTCGATCCTACGGAATATAATGATGATAATTAAAAATATTTCTACGTCCTCTATCTCAAATTGTTAAATCTCTTAAAAAAAAAAAATGTGAAAAATTAATAAAATATTGAAATATTGAGGAAATAAAACGAAATTCCCAAATCATGTCAGGATAGTATTACGAGTATTATCGCATATATATTCAAGATGTTATTTAAAGTAGTCTATACTGGAAGAAAAATCCAGTACTTTCTATCAAATTTGTTCTTTTTTTTTTTTTCGTATTTCTTTCTGAAGGAAACTCTTAATTCTATAGTAGATTATATTATTCTGATCGTATAAAATTCTCCGTTCCTTACGTTAATATTTTTACCGAATAATAATAATTTTCTGTTATTTGGTTACTATGAAATATCAAAAAACTTATTTTATCATCATTATTACTATTATTATTATTATTATTATTATTATCATTATTTCTTCTTTTTCATTAGCGTTATTGTTAAAAGCGTTATTGTTATTGTTATTGTTGCGGTTTCGTTGTTGTCGTTGTTGTTGTTGTTGTTCATGATGATGATGATGATGATGATTATTATTATTATTTTTATTATTATTATTATTATTGTTATGATTGTTATGATTGTTAATTGCGTTATGTGATAAACTCTGCAACACGTACGTATGCTTTTATTGTTATAATTAGAGCAACGAGCAATGAATCGCTTCGCTATAACATAGAAAATTTTTTATATTTATTAAGAAAAATTATTTATCAAGCTTATGTTCGTTTCAGATATATCAACAAAATTGGCTGGAGATTTTGACAAGGGTCGTTCATCATTTCATGTTTGCGCTGTATGCGTATATAGATACCCAGTTTGAAACTATAAGTATAAAACCAGCTGGATGACTTCTAGAAAATGGCATCGGGCAAACGAGATAACAGATTTCTCACATAATATAAACTGGTCCGTGCAGAATTGAGATTTTCCGAGGTGGGTTACACACATATTGCGGTGAAAACAAAGGTATACAACAGATGTCCTAGCGATGGGATCAAGGAATATCGACTTGGCACAATCACACGCGACCGCAGTTTTTATTACTTTTGGCTATAAACATTTTTTCAGAATTTTCTCAGTTCTTTGCTTTTCGTAATTTGATAAATAAACGTTATCGACCGGCGATTTTTCATTCGCAGTGAATAATTTTAATGATTTGATATATATATTTTCATATAAAGTCTATTGGACAGATAAATTTCAAAAATATTTCGTAGAAAACTCATGCATTTCCGTATTATTCGGATAATGTGGAACATCCGATCTTTTTTTTTTTTTTTTTTTTTTTTTTTTTTTTTTTTAGAATTACGATAATTACTTTATCATACTATACCATCTATCTATACTAAGAAAGCGTATAATAATACATTTTAGTAAATACTTGAAGCTTTACACATGCAAATATTGTATGTAAATATAATATTGTTATAGGTCCTAGAACCATATAAATGATGTTGATATAATTTCACAAATATTTAAAAATTCGCATATAATGAGAATATATAATGAGAATATTGTTAATTGTAGCTTAAATAAAAATTTAAATATGCAATTAAATTTTTTAAATACACACTACACTTTTTTGCAATTCGAGCATTTGACGAATAATCATATGAAAAGAAAGTTTCTACGCGAATTTCCAATACATTTAAATAAATCTGCATTCACATCGTGACAATTTTATGTGTAATTCGAAATTGCATCATAGAAATAAAAAAAAATTGCAAATGAATCATTGAGCTTATAATAATATTTATTGGTACATCACACAACTTTTTCGCGACAGTTTTGGATTTTAATATAATAAATACAAATGATAGATTGATAGAAAATAATGATTTATAAAATAAAACGAAATAATAATCAGTGATTTCAGTTTATGAATATTTGTAACTGTTGGAGTCAAATATTTAACTGCCGTACAAATTTCAATAACGTAACAAGAAAGCGAAAGATAATAATAGTGGTATTAGTGAAATTGCTTTGCAAAATGATCAAATTTTAGCAATAAATGCTTTCATTTTCTTAATTATCCAATGTATATAATTAAAGTGAAAAATTACGGAGGTAAAATGACGAAAAAAAAGGAGAGAGAAAAAAATGCGCAAATTATATATTGTATTACGGGGATAGTCAGAAATGCATAATCTTTTTATAAATAAGTAAGATTTGTGTGGCTCGTTCAAAGAAGTAAAAATAGCTTCAAAAAGTGACAAGAGCGGGGAACGCGCGTTTATTTTCCAGCCCTATGTACAATGAGAATAAACGAGAAAGTTCGGGACAGTTGGGGAAAGTCGCGTTCGGGAGTCGAAGAGAGCCACAAAGCGTAGAAAGCACATAACTAAGGCCTTTAGAAATATTCGGTAGTCGAGACAACAGCCAAGCAAAGACCGTAGAAAATGATGCGGGGCGATAAACAATGTAACCGCGCGGTTATATTCTGTATTGAACTTTCGAAAAACACCGAGACGCAAAGAGAAAGAGGTAAAAGAGCGAGGCGAGCGAAGGCTTAGAAGCTCGGAAAGACCATAGACTAGTCGCGGCCAACCCTCATCGATATCCCGTTAGGTCACTTTAATTATACGACCAACTTGTATACCCTTTTCCCTCTCCTTCATTTTCGCTTAACTCGCTTTGGCGACAGTTGACAAGCCGAAGGGAGATGATTTACCCAAGAGAAATAAAATGAAAGCGTTCCGACGGAAATCTGCTCTACAGGAATTCACAACTAATATTTAATAAATGGACGAATTTTTTATACATCTAGCTGCTTTTTGAAATTCCTCTTCCACTCAATTACTATACTTTGGAGTATTATCGTGCTGCTCGGATAACTTTGTCAATCATTTCAAACTGTTGCAGTTATATAAAAAAAAAAGAAAAGAAAAAAGAAAAAAGAAAAAAGAAAAAAAAACCCCATGTCCAAGCAATTGAAATACAGTATTTATCTCATATTTATCAAGATATTTTTAAAATTATTATTATATTAGCCATTGTTCTTTAATTTATCATATGTATTTTCAAGTTAAACAACATTTTTTTTAATTTTTTTTATTAATATGTTATTACCAAGCACTAGAAAACGATAAACAATATTTTCCAGAAAATCGCTTACAATTCCCTTTTAAACGCACTAAAATTCTGTAATCATCTGATTTAAAAAAAATCCAGAACATATGTTTACAAATTTATAATATTTTTATTATAATTTATTTATAAAATTAAGTCCTTGCGTTTCACCTCTATCGTTACTTCCGACTGCGACCTTTAATTTATACAACATTATAAATTTGTGCGAATTCATTAATATTATATGTAAATAATAACAATACGCCAAAGAATGAAAATGATGCGATCCGATTAATCGTATAAAATTGATTACATTTAATAAATAATTTATTTAAACCATCTCCAGCGTAATAAAACTGTATTACCATGATAAAGCCAATTTTGTCAATAATATTTCATTACGTATGCACGTAGTTAGTTTAATTTTTAAATAAATATCCTCTCGGATGACATAATAAGAATCCAAAGAAATTAATTATTCATCAAAGAGTAAGCTTCAAACGAATGAAAAAGAAAGAAAAAAAAAAAAAAAAATCATTCCGTTTTCTTTTTCTGCTCAAACTGAATGTACAACACTTAAAAATTCCTTATTCTGTTTTTAATATTACAGCCTCTCCCGATAAAAATGATAAATCTTTAAGCTTTTAAACTACTTGTTGTGAGGACGAAATATATACTTAAACTCACCCTCTTAAATTTTTTTTACCGAACTATAGCTACAGTTGCATCGTTCTTAACAATCACCGTGGGCTTCATACTCTCTTCTCAACCTCCTTCCTGCAACTGCATCAACTTTCCGTTGCGTTGCTCCACTTATACGTATATGTACAGGTACGTGAACCTATTTCTCTACGTGCGAGCTTTATTGCCTCGCTACCGAGTGAGATACGCGACTTATATAAACTTTTATCGTCTCTTATCGGATGGCGAACACAGAGCGCTCCTATTTTTCTTCTATATTCTTCTCTGCCTCCTCCTCCTCCTCCGCCACCTCATCCTCCTTCTCCGCCTCCTCCTCCTCCTCCTCCTCCTCAACCTCCACCACCTCCACCTCCTTCACCTCCTCCACCTCCTCCACCTCCCCTCCCATTCCCTACGCGCCGCCTCCGGGTACCCCCTTCCCTTCTGCCCCTTCATAATTTTCACCCGTCTCGAAATCGTAAGCATAAATTTGCCAGCGTTCGCGCATCGCAAATGGAGCACGACGTTCGCCCTACATTACGACGTTGACGACCATCACAACAACGACAACCGCGACGACGACAACCATCATGACGTCGACGATCACAACCACTACCACGAAGATGACGATGACTACGATGACGACCAGGACGACGACCAGGACGACGACCACGACGACGACCAGGACGACGACCACGACGACGACCACGACGACGACCACGACGACAACCAGAGTTTATAATTGCAAAACGCGAAGCAGCGTAGTTCCCTTATCCGTACCACGACGATTAATCTCTTCGTTTATACTTTTCTATTTTTTTCTGTTCCGCCTTTATCGATTGGAGGCCGGCTCTCGATGGTCTATATATACACTGCCTTTGTATATTTGATATAGTCAAGGCTTAGATTTTGATTCGTACGTCGTGAATACGTGAAAGAGAGAGGGTGAAAAATGAGAAATAGGTCACTCGAGCTCACTCGCTCTCTCGCTCTCTCGCTCTCTCGGTACTCTGATGAGCTCGTAAATCGATTCACCCAGTTTCGCCTAATTGCGAGGCTGCCGATGTTGCTGCCGATGTTGCTGTAGCTAAAGGAAGAAGTGATCTCGCTTCTCTCCGGGTCGAAAATTTGTAAGCATCGCCTGAGCTTCTTCGTCTTTCGAAAATTGCCGAAATGCTTTTTATTCCGATAAATCACGAACTTACAAGCTTTTGCCGATAGCATGAATTATACGACTGGATAAAATAGATAAGATTCTAAATACCGTTGCTGCCTAGCGTGAAAAAATTTTCTTATCGAGATTCATAAAATTAATGGTCGATCAATTTTAATTTACGTCTCTTCATTGTCAATAACATCTACCGATATTATTTGATACAAGTCTTTAACGATTAGTTACTATATACATTTTTCTGCATGTGCGAAAGTTTACACACATACACACACACACACACACACGCACGCACACACATATATGGACGGGTAACCTTATAATATATTTAATTAAGTTTTATTTTTATACTAAAGAAATTATAGCTTAATCTTTTGTTTTTTTAGATGGCAAAATAAAGTTTATACGTATGACTACTTGTTTTGATAACAACTGGAAAATATAATTGCAGCTGTTATTATAAAACTTTGAATAATAACTATTATTCTGAAAATAAATTAGTTATGAAATTTTGTTTTTGGGTCTCGATAGGAAAGTTTCATACCCGCTATGTATATTATTAATTTTTCACCTTTATCTCTCTCTCTCTCTCTCTCTCTCTCTCTCTCTCTCTCTCTCAGTCTCTCTCTCAGTCTCTCTCATTCTAATTTATAAATATATTAGCTTATTAAAATTAAATGTAATTATTTTATCGATCATTTAATTGCATAGAAATTTTTAAAATACACAGCTATGGCATAACTAACGAACGATAACAGGAAATACTGATAATAATAATTAACTCAGTACTCAATTACAATAGGAACGTGTTCGCTGTGCACGATTAAAAAGTTATTTCCCATATGATAAGCTAAGGATTTTAATTAAATTCGGTCAACAATTGATTGGAGACATATAAAATTATCTGTAACGTCCTTGAAACGGCATTTTGATGTTAGGCAGAATAGTTATTTCATTGAAATGGAAAAACTGAAAAGATCGTTAAAGCGAGCACGATATCTCTTATGATTTTATAAATAACATAAAGTAATATAAATTAAAATTTAATTTTTAATTATTCATTCATAACGATTCGTATTTTATGCTTCTAATATTAATTCGAGTAATTAAAGTACTTTTCCATATTTATTTTATGAATTTATTGTAAGAACAAATCCAAATGCCGAAGACGACGTAAATTATCCATACAAAATATTTAATAATGTCAGTAACTAAAGTATTCGGCAGTAGTCAAAGTGGAATTAATTCGAGGGAAGATAATTTCGTAAGAAGCACGTAATCTGGATGAAATTCGAGAGAATCGCGAATGCGAGCCGGCAAATGGTGGACTGGCGTCCCCCCCCCCCCCG